CCATTTCCCATGTTATTGGGTGTTGCAAATGTAAAGTGCTGTCACATTTTCCTAGGTCTGTGTACAATCTGTCAAAATAATTCCTGAAGTCCAGCCTCAGTTCATGGTCCCATTACATTTCATATGTATCTGTGTAAGGAATTGGAGCTGTGTGATATGAAATATTAACCTGCTAGTGTTGAATGCCAGATGTGACAGCTTGCACTGTCTGAGATTATAATCTGACCCTATGTGCATAAGAAATATACATGTGGTAGGTTTGGAAATGGAATCATTGAACATGTGGATTTATATGGCTAGAGCAAGGTTTCCAATTTTTGAAGCTGCATTGCTTGCATTGTTGTCTGTTGGAAAAAAAATACGGGATAATTACTAGTGCTTTGCATTGTCATAGCCGTTATAAATGCTTTACATGACTTCTAATAAAGTGTGATGCAACCAGCTATCTTGTGCTCTGAGGCACTCTGACCTTGCCAAAGAAGATGATGTGAGGTCTTCTCAGGGCACCTAGAGCAGTGGCTGGGTAAACATGCAGTTGAAACTTCATTTGGCTGGAAGTGCGGAGTTTGCAGTGGGGTTGCTCTTATTTGTATGCCATCTGTGTAGGGGAATTGGCATGCAATACCCCGCTTGCGCACCTTTGTTCATAGCATTGCTCCCTCTGTTACACGGGAGGGTGGGGAGGGAGGCTGCTTTTAGGATGGGGAGCCTGATCCTGTCGTTGGACATGGACCACCTGCAGAAGTTGTTAGTGTGAGCAGGCATTAGATGTTAGCTGTTATTTCCCTGTCCTGATGTCCCAGACATGTGACGCAGACTGGCAGGGGTCTGGAGCGGTGCTGCCGTGTCCGCATGGTGACGTGCCGGGCTCTTGCCGAGTCGGATGGTGTATCTTTGCCGTTTGGACGCAGTGGCTCGGGAACCTCTGTGCCACTGTGCATGGTGCGGGCCAGCCTGAAGATTCGTGGGGTTCATGTCTGATGCCCTAGTCTTGCTGGTTAAGATACATTAGAGAAGTACTGATCTTGCTGTGTGTGAGTGGATAATGTATGTTTTATTGCCTGTGTTTGATGTAGGGGTTGGAGCCTGCCTGCCTCCCCCATTCCAACTGTGTATTTTACTTTATGCAGTACACTAAAGACCAGATTTTACCACAACTAACTTACAAGTTGCTTTATTCTGAGATACTATATTTGCTGTGATGGGCCTTCAGATTCATAGCCGGGTAGCTTCAAGATTTAAAGCACATATACCTTAAATATCTCTTATCTGGGGCAGGTTAGAAGTGAATATAACTAACCTCTGTTTAGCCGTAATGCATTTATTAATGACAGTAAAAGCTGTAGATGGAAAAGCAATAGGTAGAACTGAGCCCCTTTAGGATAATTGCAATGTTGGGCTCTTTGTTACGGTTTTGTAATTTGAGTTTTCAGATTTCCGGGTACCTGATGCCTGGCACACTGCTTTAATAAAGCAAGCAGCCCCCCAAAACATGAAAGCTGTGAGGTGGGGATGTATTTATGCCATGGAGTTGGCAGTGTGGGCAGTGGCTCGGTCTTAAACATCTCAGCTCCTTTGATTTTTGCCTTTCACTCAAAACCTTGGAAAGGGAAGGTTACCAAATGCGTGTTTACTCGAAGCACACAACCTGCTCAGCTGCAATTATCTCCTAATCTGGTCCTTCCGAGTTTCTCTGGTCTCGCAGGTAAATACAGATTTAGCCGTTATTCAAGGCATATTATTTACCTCATTAAGTGTGTGTTTTGGCACGTGCATTATTTACCTGACGGACTAACGGATGGGAGAGAGCAAATGCTGTCTTTTGTGCAAACAGTGATTTTGTTCGTGGGCGGCGAGTCCTCCGTTTCGCCTTGCCCCTTTCGGCTCTGTTTCTTGCGGCGGGCACTTCCAGCCCTTCATGGTGGAGTGAAAAGTGAGCGCAGGCGCGGGGAGGCCGGGCTCAGAAACCAGGCGGGTGGGTGGCACGTGGTGTGATGGAGCTCTTGCCCAGAGCCACGAACAGTGGGACCAACTGTGGGGATGGATTTTAAATCTCTATGTAGCGAGGGGGGTGTGTGTGTATCTATATATAGTTAGAGGGGGTACTCATATCCTTGTTCAAGAGGACTGGGTTGTTGCAATTCGCCTGTTTTGCTATCGGTCACTGTAACCCAGCTATGTAACACCCCCATGAGTTGGGCTTGAACTCTCATCCCAATAAATCTACTAGCAGCCCCAAGGCTGGCCTACCTTGGGCAGTGACAGTCCTGTCACGTTTTTCCTGCAACATTTTAAAAGAAAAAGGGTAGGGGAGATATCCAGGCAGTCTCACATGGATAATGTAATTTATTAAATAGCATTAGTTAAGTAGAAGTATCAGAAGGTGATGGCTGGGTGAGGTATTTCTTTGGGAGGGAGACTGTAACCTATAGAGTCCTGCTTGTGTTTTGCAGTTCCTGCAGTTCACATACGGGTTTGTTGAACCAATATCCTCTGAGAAATACCTGAAGTAAGAAATCAAGTGTAGCACTAGAATCACATCCCTGAGAAACCTCATATACAGAGCAAATGAGAACTTCCCTGGGGAGGAGCCTTCCAGCCACCAGACGTGTGGATTTGTAATCGAAGTGGGAGGTTTTGGTGCGACTAACAGGTGTTTCAGGGCCAAGCTGTTTGGATGGATTGTAGTGTTGATATGTGTATCGCTGTATTTAATTCCTACCATGTATCAGAAGTTGCATTGTATATGAAAAGACGAAAGGCCTCCTTGGAAATTTCAATGGGATTTAGATCAGATTTTCTATGTTTAAGTGGTTTGTGTTGTGTTCTGCTATGATAAGGTTCAGCAAAAAAACTGGTGCCTAGAGCCATGACTGTTGTGTGTCTCAGTTCTTAATTTAGAGCCATTTGCAGAGGTTAATTTCCAGTTGCCCATGATTCTGGACATCTTGAGCTCAGTCCAAATGTCGTCTGTCGTGCTTAGAGCAGGTTACTGTGTGATTTCAGGTTTGCGATGCTGGAACCTCCACTGGGAAGCACAGAGAAAATCCCTGACAGAGGAGGCCAGTGAAGAGATACTAGCGGAGATGAGATGTATGTGTGCATGAGTAATGTGAGTTTGTCTTCAGTTTCAGATGCCTCTGGATGTTCAATGATAGCACTCCTCCATACTGGAGCAGCAAAGTTTCCCCAAAACTTACTTCCAAGGGCAAGACAAGCTGTGTGCTCCCTCCTCCCGGCTGGTGTTCTCAAAGGGTACGGCTCCATCGTAAGCAGGAAACTGGCGTCCCACGGCTTTGGAGCTTCCATGGCAGCAATGTCATCCTTCCCTCCACAGAGATATCACTACTTCTTAGTGCTGGATTTTGAGGCCACGTGTGATAAACCACAGATTCATCCTCAGGTAAATAGTCAATCCTGTTAATTATCCCTCTGCTGCTGTTCTGAGAGGTGGAAGGAAAAAGCACAGTGCTGGCTCACTCGTTTTCTCTGGTTTGTCCCACCTCCTTTCTGTTGCTGGTCCTCCAGGGCTCTTGCCAGTCACTTGCTCTCTCAGAAGCAATGCCAGGACTGTTCGGTGGGAATAAAATGAAGGAGCCTGATTTCCATCAAGGAAGTGACAATTCATGTGTTATCAAAAACATTTTTAAGTCATGTATGCCTGTCATTTGCCTGAACTGGGGAGGGTCTAAAAATTTTTGGCTGGGAACCTGCATTAGTGGAGTACTCATGGCAGCCTTGTTTGATTCTGCAAGGAAAAATGCTGTTGGTAACCAACAGCTTTAGGAAAAGAATAGTTTGAATGACATGAATATGTGCAACAAAATGGTGTTTCTAAATAGAGAAGAACAATAGTTTGGAGCTGTCTGATCTTGCTGAAGTTATCTTACCTGGGTGCTAACTCTGGAGTGTAATGAGACAGGAAGAGTTCAGCTTCAGAGAGATTTTCCAGTGCCCTACCACTTGAGACATACAGAGATCCAGATGAAGTACAGAGGTTTTTCTGCAGACAGTTCTTCCATAGTAGCGTAGAGCATATTAGTAAATAAATTTTCAGTTGTCAGCAGGATGGGCCTAGGTTTTCCATTTAAATTAGAAAACCGTGCTAAAAAGAAAAAAAAACCTAATAATGGGTTGGTAACAAGCAAACAGAATTTCTGAGTCTCTAAATTGAACTTGGACTTCTCACCCTCCTCTGCCAAGCAATTGGCTTCTGATGGGTATTGCTGGTAATACATGCATTGGGTCAGAATAACTTCCATTTGCTTTGTTTTGAATATACGAAAGGCTAAGCGGTTTTCAGTGTGGTATCTCATTACTGAAGCGACTTGATAGAGTGTGTTCATTTCCCAGTGCAGCTGTGGTTTCCCTTGGGCTTGTCCCATCAAAGGCATGCTGCAAGTTGGGGTCAAACTTGACTCCTGTCTTCCCCAGTAGTGCCTTAGTGAGTGCTGCCTGCCTCTCGTATTTCTTGAAAAATGGACAGCAAATTCCCCGCTCTTTTGCTGGGTCTTTGTGGGAGGCTGTTGTGGCTCTGCATCCAGTTCTGCTAGCAGGGTCTTAACCGCTCTCCAAGTGAGATGTCAGGCTATTTCCTGCACGCTCCGCCTCGGGTGCACAGACCTGTCAAAGCTGTAAATTGGATCTACCTTGTCCCTTTGGATATGGGTTTGGTTGGTGCACATTTTGATGCAAAACCATGATGCATGTGGAGCTAGTTTACAGCTGGCAGTAAAAAGGAGCATGAGTGGAATATGATTACTACTGTTTTAAGGAGCTTTGTCCCCAAGTCCTTGCCAGGGAAAGTAATGGTCTGGGCCAATGCAGATCTGCTATATATTTTGTTGGTGAGATAGCACCTTTAAGGTGGAGATGTTCTTCAGTGTTGTTTTTCCAGTCTGCTGTATTCAGTGCCTGTCTGCATCATATCGTTTGTGGAAAGGGCTGTCAGTCCCTTACATCCTCACCAACAAATTAGTTTGACAAATAGAGAAATGGCTCTTGCTACATGGGAATCAGTGTAGCTGGAAAGGCTGAAGGTGCCTGCCAGAATCACGCAACTTTATAAAATGAAACTTTAGTTGATGCCCCTACGTACATCTTACCTTTTTGATGACCAGCATGGCTTTTGTCCTCTTCACTGCTGGGCTGTATGTCATGGTGAGCACTGTGCTGTGTATTTCAGTGATATTTTGTGCAAGGTTTTAGTGGCAGGATCTTTCACTGGAGCAGTGGCAGGCAGGTTTTGGAGGTTTGGTCTGAGGACAGACCTGGGAGCTGGGAATGGTCAGGTGCTGATCTTTGCTGTGATCCTGATCCTTTTTCTGCTTTTGTTTTAATACCTGTAAAATAGAAGTCTAGGTACAATGAAATTCAAATGCATTGGGATTTGATGAGGAGGCTGCATATACAGAGCTAAGCTGTGATCCAGACTACTTTAAGTGGGTAGGCATAGCTGTAAATTTAGCCAGCTCAGCCTAAAAGTCCTGCAGAGTGCACTTGCCACTGTGCAGCATGCTTCACATCTCTCACTAACTGCTCTTCAAAATATTCTGGCTTTTTACCAGAAACTACTGAAAAAGCTATCTTTTTATCTACACTAAGTGTGTGACTGCCACATCTGCTCCCCCTCCCACTGTATTTGCTTGTGCTTTTCTGCAACTGACAGCCTTGCTGGCTTTATCCCTGGGGAAGTCCTTCATGCTCATTCGGGAGCCCTGAAGACTCCTTCATTTCCATTCCCTTTCACGCTGCCAGATCTCTCTCCGAGGTCTCGTGGTACAGCCTCCGTAATGGGGATCAAGGAGGGTCAAGGACAGTGGTATTCCCCTGGGAAGCTGTCTGCACCGTGGCTTCAGTGGCTGGGCCTGCTGGCTGAGTGCCTCATGGCCGCTGCCCTTTGCTTTACCACTTCTGGGTCGGGCATGGAGGGTCCTTCATGTTCCCTGCCTTACATCCACAGAGGAATGGTAGCATCCTTGCAGTCCTGACTTCTGATGGCTTTCAACAGATATGCCCCTAAATCAAAATGCATGTTTATATGCACAAAGAAGTAGCTTAGCTTTATGGGTTTTTTGGATATATTTATGAATAATGAGACCATCCCAGAGAGGAAAGAAGGTGGGGGGTTTAACTGCATTGCCCTGGATGGATAGATGGGAAAACCTGAAAGAATAGAGGCAGTCTGTGTTGTGTAGTGTTTTAGCCAGCCAAAGGTCAGTAGGGGTTTGTTCAGGCAGTAAGGGATGTTTATGGCTGGCCCCTCGCATCTCTTTAAAGCTTACCCTGTGCATTTGGAATTTGATCCAGAGCACAGTGGGGTCAGGTGGGAGCTGTCATTCTGCGGAGGTCGGTGGACCTTGGACCACAATGGTGGTAGCGTGCTTCATTTTTCAGCTCTAAGTCTGACTTTTTTTCCTTTACTGTCTGCTAAGGGTTTATAAGTACCTGCTGCTTTTATACGCTGTCAGCCTGTAGAGGCGGGTACATATGGTGCTTTGGCTACACAAGAGAAGATGCATTAATAAGTGGGAGTCTCGCTCTTTTGTCCCTTTGTCCTTGTATACACCCGTGTTTATGGTGGTCAGTGCTTTCAGTGACTGTTAAGGAGCTCTCCAGGCTTGGATCCGTGGCTGCCTGTAACCTTATTTTATTAATGCAGTGAGTGGGTGTCGTGGTTTAACCCCAGCCAG